AAATTAGTTTTGAAAATTTTTCTTATGAAAGTTTAAGATTTTATTCTTTTCAAAGTTGTTTTTTATGACTTATAATTCACGCGAATTGTTATCCACACTCAATCGTAATTTGACATTTTCATCTATTACTGAAAATAAAATTGCAAAATATCAATTAATACATTTATTATTTAAAATGAAATTAATGCATGCACAAGTGATATTTTCATTTATATATTTGGCATTTCATTTAAAATGAATCATTACAATCAGTTTTCTGAGAGTGTTCCAAACATCTGTCTGTCTTTTCTACTTCAAATTAGAATTGAACAATAAACTTAACTTCAAATTAAAGTTTAAAAACATATTTTATCTATTACACCTTTACACGTGAAAAAAAAATTCCTTCCGGAAGAGATATGCTTTCTTCAATATTATCATTCCACTTTCATCATTTCTCTTTCTTTTTTTTTTCATTCGTTTATCTTTTTCAATTGCTCAAAGATCATTCGATTTCTCTTGGATTTTACAATTTTCCTGCAAGTGTAAAAAGCAGTTTTAAATCAAACATCTAAAATGTTAATTTTTCATTCAAATTCTTTTACCAATACTATTATTAATACTTCCAGTTTTCTGAAATTTCTCGGGAAATTATTTTGACTTTTTTTTTGCATTTGCCAATTTGAGAATTCGTTTCTTTGCGAGTAAAAAAAAAAAGGAAGAAGAATTGATTCATTTTTATACATTCCGTTGAATAATATAATATATTTTAATGGGACGCACATCCATCCCTCTTTTCATTCGCCTTATTGCTATCGTTGCTTTTTCTTCCGTTTTCCTTTTTCTATTTGAACGGATAATTTTTTCAAATTCCATTTTCTTGCATATTTGCGCTAAATTCTTCGCAAACTTTGTATTTATTTTCAGTAATTCAAATTTTTATTAGTTAAAAATTTTGAGAAAGAGAAAAAAAAGGAATGATATGAAATGATAATTTGGCATGTAAAACTGGAAACAAATGAAGAATGAGAACGAGTTATTTATTTTTCTCTTATTTTAATTAAAAAAAGGTTTTCAAGAAAAATTATGTTATATACATATAAGAGAAATGTCCATTTCGTTGTTTTTTCTTTCCTTCATTTTTATCGAATTAGCAAATGTCCAATTTAAGAAAACTGACAGCTCAGTTTTTGATAATTGCGAACAAAAAAAAAAGACAAAATTTGACAAAATGACAGGTGACAACTAAAATGATTTGTAAAGAATTAGTTTTAAATTTTCTCATAGTTTGTTTATTTGATGAATGAAAAATGATAATCAGAAATATCAATTTACAACTATCAATTGTAATATTATTACTGTATTAGAGAATCTAAAGATTTTCAAGTATTAATTGTAATATTACTGTATTAGAGAAAATTGTTCCAATGCGGAAAGTTTCCAGAGTTGGAATGAATGAACTGATTCATTCTTCTTGTTTTCCTTATTCTCATTGTCCTGTTGACACTGGCAGGTTTTTTTTTAATTGAATATGAATACTTATTTTTCTAAATTTTGATTCATCCATTTTTTAAGTTTTTTTTTTTTCTCTTGAAGATAGAGGTACTTTCCAGCAATGATATCATAATGTTCTTTTTTTTTGAGGGAAATCCGTATATGCATGATGAGCTATTATGTGGGATGAATTTTTAACAAAGTTCATCCGATTATCTTGCTGATCTGCTCTGATCTGATCCATAAACATATTTCAATTCATTTGTTTAATTTGAAATTTTATTTTTCAACGTAAAAAATTCCACTTGAACATATTTCATTAAGACAACAGTTGATTCGTATTAATAATATTATCATTAAAAGTTTAAAGGTCACGTTTTATTCACCCATTATTCACCCATATTTGATCCCCTTAGCAACCGAACTCGATTTATTGTTTGAATTCTTTTGAATGGTATATTTCGGTTGATTGATCATTTTTTGCAAACTTATGCAACTTCATCAAAAATTTTTAAATTTCAGAGAATTTATTTCTATTACTATTGTTTGCCTATTTGGTGCAAAAGATGCAACAAATTTTAAAGTGAAGAATTGGAATTTTCTCCTTTCAAATTTCTTTTGCTACGAACGTTTTGCTGGAAATTTTTTTTTTAAAACATAAAATAAATCTATTATTTGATCGCAGAACTTTCGTAATGTCGAGAATAGGATTGTTTGGGCAAATTTCCGAGGTTACTGATCACTTATTTCTCTCTGGAGCCGGTGTTCTGAAACTTGAAAAATTACGTCAAAAAAAAATTTCGTGTATTGTAAATGCAACTGTTGAAGAACCATCCACTCACATTCCAGGTAACTATTATTAATTTTAGCAATTAATTTGAATGAAATTATACCTATGAAGTTCAGAAATAAATAGTGGGATCAGGTAATGATATCTATCGGTATTTGACATCATTTACATTCAAGCCTATTTAATATCACTCCTTAGCTCATATCTCTCTCTCTCTCCTATATCATTAGACAAGACAAATTAATTATTTTTTTCGTAATTTTCATTCCACTCGTACCATTTCAAATAAAGTTCAAAAAGTTTTCTTTTAGGGATTGACTACCTGAGGATCTCAATAGAAGATAGTCCCTATTCAAAAATTGACCAATATTTTGATATTGTTGCAGACAAAATCAAGGCAGTCAAGGTGAATAAATCTAATTAATTAATTTTATCATTTTTGGTTCATTGAAATTTTAATGCCATTTTATTAATAGTTTTCGTTCCTCATTTTTCTGTTTCATGATACGATGAAGCAAAGTTAACCTAAAAAACGTCGCTTCATGAAAAATTAATTTGAAATTCACCTAGCATGGATTTTAAATAATCAAATCGAAGTAAATCAAGATATGAATTTAATAGCTGCTCAGGCTTAAATTTTATATATTACAATTAACATAAACATTTTAGGACAGGGGTGGTCGAACTTTAGTACACTGTGTAGCTGGGGTATCACGATCTGCTACTTTATGCATGATATATCTCGTAAAGCATGAACGGATGACGTTACGTCAGGCATATCATTTTGTTAAATCAGCTCGACCTGTTATCAAGCCTAACGTAGGCTTCTGGAAGCAAATGATTGAGTATGAGCGTAAATTAAAAGGTTGCAATTTTTTTCACTTTATTTTGCCGATTTTTAATTTGTTTTTTTGCTTACCTAATTTTAAAAGTTAAGTTTAAATGAAATTTCAATTTAATAAAAAGTATTCAAAACAAAAAAAAGAAGAGAGACGAATATTAAATTTCTATTTTGGTATATTTAATTTTTCTTGAATATTTCCTTTTGCATAATTTTCATAATTTATCCGATTTGAAATCATAAACAAAATGATTATTATTTTTAATTGTTACGATTTAAATTTAATGAATGATTTAGAGAAGGTTCATTAATTAATTTTAGGTTCCAGTTCAGTGCAAATGATAGAAACAAATCAAGATGGTATGACACTTCCAGATGTGTACTGTTCAGAATTAAAACGACGATTGATTCAAAATCATTCATTACCGAAGGGTACTTGTCGAAATATCACAATTACACAAGTTCCTTTCAAATACTCACAAACCTCGTTAGTCATTATTTCATAATTTACACATCAAATAAATGAATAGATTGAAAAAAATTTGAAATGAAAAACTTGCTGAAGGAGGAATATTTAAAGAAAAAATGAGTATCATTAACATATTTGTTCAATTTTCGAGAGTTATCATTGATTTTCATTTTCCTGCAATATTTCCTTTCCAGGAATTTTGGTCGTTCATTGGGTTCATCTTATCGAAGATCCACATCACCCTCAATTATACCATCACTTTTCTCCCTTCCATCACGACAACATTCACCGTTCTCAATGCTAACATCATCCTTTGCTCGACGACGCAATAATGATTTGTTCGATTCGTATCATTCAGGTTTTTCCACATTCTAGCTGATATGATGATGATGATGATGATGGTGGTGATGATGATGGTGACCGTGACGATGATAATGATGATGTATTGATTAAACAACACTTCAATGCAACAAAACAAAAATATTTCCTAATATTTTATCTTAATGCTCTAATACAGTTGTCAAAGATAGTTTATTAATTGAATTAATGTTATATGTTTCTTCTCAAAATGCCTTTAAATAAAACCCTATTGAAAATATGACCATTCGCGATGGATATATTGGAAAATCTTGTTTATATTGAATCCCTGATCCATTGATCTTACTACAACAGATCAAGAAGAGAAATTGATAGATGTATTTCGATTAATTTCTTCGTTTATGACCGTTCTAGTCTACAAGCAACTCGTTTCTATTCATCCACAGTTTCCGTTCTCTTTTAATAATATATCATGTAATGTTTCATTGATGAATGATTTATTGTTAAAATTTTCAAGGACTTCAATTCAAGTTCTTAATTCATTCAAACAAACATTTTGCTAAAATAAAAAGAAAAAAGAGAAGGAAAATGAAATTTTATGGATGAATAACATTTTATATGATGTATGTTATATACTATTGCTCGTAATTATTATAATTATGCATCTTATAAGGGCTAATCATTCACTATAAATATATATTATGAAAGCGTTTATTTGTTGTTTATCATTTGCTAATTAAAAAAAAAAGGAATAGAAGATTGTGAAAATGTTGTTATCATTTTTAAAACAATGTATGCCGAGAAAAATATATCGTTTACTTGGCCAACTATTAAGGATTAAAGAGCATAAATGATAAGATACTAGAAGGCATTTTCATTTCATATGAATTTAAAGTGAAGCGTATCTTACGATCAAATGTTAAAAAGCCTTAGGTATTCCTTGTATTTTGTATGAAGGACGGGATAGTGATTATTCGTTACATTAATTTGAATTTTTCGAATGAAGTTTAGATAGCATTGAATTGTAAGATAAGTAATAATATTTTTGAAATTTTTTCGGATATTTTGAAATATATGAAAATAATATCATTGTCACTTTTTTTTTTTGTTTGACAATTGCTATTTGTCTACATTATAAACGTTGTAAACTTTATAAACTTTAATGTTATGTTATGAGTTTTTGTGATAATTTAAAATCATTTCATCATTCAGGGTAAAAATTACAGTACATATGATTGATTTTTTGTTTTCGAAAAGTTTTGATCTCTTTTGAAAAATAACATTATCTTAAATTTATAAATTTATGTAATTAGCCCTTTGAAGAATTGATATTAATTGATAAATTAAACAAAATTAGCATATTTCATCTGTTTTCAATTAATTTAAATTATTTAACAAATAATGCAAAAAATTAACCCATAATAGGAAGAGAATTTTAAAATATAAGTGAATTTTTATTTACTAATCATTCATTCATTCATTCATTCAACAATATTTTATTTATTTCCTTTACTTCGAGCATTATTCAATTCCGAATTGTCTCCTTCATCTTCCACCGGAAATTCTTTATAAACTTTCTGCAAAATAAGTGAATAAATTAAACAGACAAAAATAACAAATTTTGAAAATTTTCAACTTTTACCGTAAAATTTCTTTCCTTCTTTTCTTCTTTCCTTCAAAAATCTTTTCAACATTGTCAGAACGTTTATTGCCTTTTCATTTACATTTGAATCAAATTTTGAATGATTTCAAGATTCAAATTTTCTTAACTTCTATTATCTCGAAAAAATTTTTGTTGCATTACAAAAATTGAATTCGCAATGAGCTATCAGTAATAAAATAAACTTAGCATGTTTGAAGAGAAAAAAAATAATACAATTTCACTGTTGCTTGGAACTCGTGAAAGGAAATCGAGAAGCTCATTATTTGGAATGAAATTTGGATTGCGCAATTTTTTCGTAAATTTATTAATACCTGAAGTATTAATTTAGCAGGAACAACTTAAACATTATTAAACAAAAAGTCACACAAAAAGATACTTTTTTTATTTTGTTATATTTTCAAGAAAGTGGAATTCAAACTTACTAGAAAAGAGAATTTTCTAGAAATTTTTAAATTTAGAATTAAAAAAAAAGAAATTAACTGCTTACCCCATATCATAATAATCCATCTTAGTGGAATAAAATAAAGTAAAATGGTAATAATAGAAAGTGTTATTATAGCTAACGTTGAAAGATACGGTTGAGTGAAGTTAAACGTACTGAAAATTATACGATATAAGTTATGCTAATGCAACAATTATAAATGAATAAGAAATTTTATGAGAGAAATCGTTCAATTTTTTAAATTTAAAAAGGAAGCATTAATGTGAATGAAAAAAATAAAAATCTGATAAATTTTTTGAAAATTAAAGGAATTCAAAAAAAAAATCAGTCAGTTACTTTCGGATTCGTTCCAGTAGTGATGCGCTAAAATCCATCATATTTTGTACTTTTGCCATTATGTCTTGTAAAGTGTTGAATCGTTCACGAATTGACGATGACCGTTGTCCATTCTAAAGCAAAAAAAAAGTGTCATAAAAATAATTGGAGCATAAACGGAAAATGTCAGAGAAACAAAAATTCAAGCAGATATCTGATCCAAATAGAATAGTAATCAATGAAGGGATCATGAATGATAAGCAAATACTCCAATCCAATTCTTCAACACTTTATCGACATATTTCAAATAAACTTTTTCAACTTCAATTTTTAAATTATATTTCAAAATTATTGCCAAGTAGAGATTTTATGAAGTTAAATCACTGAATGTTATAATTACCGTATCAATTGTATCAGTCTCTTCCTCGGATTCTGAAATTGACTTGATCCTCCTCTTTTTACTGTCTTCAGTTGACCCCAAATATTTGATTTTGTCAGGTCGAAGAAAGAAAAGCAATATGATGATTGGGATGTGATGAATATGGAAGAAGTATACAAATATTATAAATAACTGAAAAAATAATATATCAAAATACAAGAGTCTTTATGGAGATTGTCAAGCTGCCCATTCATATTATAAAATTTTGTTTTTACTTAAGTTCAGCAACTTTCATTTTCAGTGAAAAAAAGATGGAAAGTCCATTTTATCAGTTCATTTTATCATACTGTCATTACTATTTACTTCATTTCAAAACGATGATATTGAAATATGAAATTTCAGAATGATTATTTCAGGATTTTCCTCCGCTTTTTTAGGCTTCTAAACTTCACTTTTTGAAGTGAACTGTACCATTAACCACATGAAATGCAAATTGTTGAACTATAGATTTAATGATTATTTTCAATTTAAAAGATAAATAAAGTTTGACAGATTGAAAACTGATGAAACTAATATTATTGATTAGAAAAGTGGAATATCAGCAGATGATAATATAAACTAAACACTTCTTACCTCTCCCATAACAAATTATTTTTCAAATGTGGTTCATTTCTACACTACCATAGGAAATCAAAATGTTAAAAGATGATTATCGAATTAGTCTTTTTAAATCTTAAAATTAAAACTTTCATCTATCGAGAAAATAAACTTGCTCACTGCGAATGCAAATAGGGAACGGATAGGTGAATCCCAGTCAAAACAACTCTGCACATAATCTCGAATTTGCATCAATACCAAAAAGAATTCTCGAAGTCTGAAAAAACCCGGTTTAACTTATCTATAATGACCAGCTTAGATTTTGCTAAAGCTGATTGGACATATTATTGGAAACTTCAAGTGAGTCTGAATGTATCGTTGGTTTTTGATCTATTAGACCTGAACATTTGAAGATAGCAATACTTCTGTTCACTTGAACTTCTTCAGAAGTCTTCATTTAACCGGCTCTGCTTAAAGGCTTGCTGCATGAAGTTCATGTCTCGTTCTTTATCATCAGTTAATGTAATCATCCATCGATGATTAAATTATTAATTAATATTGCATGCATCAAAATTCTGCCAACCTGGCGTAACTGTTCATAAAAAGACGTCGTTTAAATTTTGGGTCTGTCTGTATATATTTCCGCTCTCGTGGAGTAAAAGTACGGATTGCTGCACGAATCTGTAAAAAAATTATTTCAGAAGTAAGAATCGAAGAGTAAAATTGAAAAATTGGAAAGCGCTTGTAATATGATATCAAAATTGGTTAAACAATTGATAAATTTCCAATGTTTTCAAGTTTGTATAGAAGAATAAAAGAAAAAAAAAAGACGCATTGATAGTTTATATATCAAAAATTACCGGATTCCAAATGATATCCATTTCCAGCAATATTTGACCCTTAGCTCGTGCTCTCAGTTTCCGATCCTTCAGAGCATACCATTTCGGCTTGGAATTTTGAATCTGCAAAAAAATGACTACTAACTTTAATTAACAATTAATTAAACTGCTCAATCAGATCTTCGTCTTTTTATTTTCCATTCACAATTTTATAAAAGATGACTTTTGATAATACCTGTAGTAATGGAATCGCAATTTTACCCAAAAATTCTGCTTTCTTATTTGGATCTTCATCATAAATTGTGATTTCAAGTATGGAATGAATATCTTTTACTGCACTAAAATATTTAAAATTGTATTTAAAAAAAACTGAATCATATTTCAATTGAATTAATGATACCTTTTGATATCATTTGAAATATGGTGCTTAATTTAGTTTAATTTGCATGAATTCAAAAATTAAAATTGTAAAATCAAAGATTTTCTTGAGATCAAGAAAAGTATGCAAATATAATATGAAAAGTGAGGAATAAAATACATACAATGTGAAAATTTTGTTCCATTCCGGATTAATTGTTTTATATTCCGTATGTGTCTGCAACAATGCATTCACCAGTTCAACGACCACAAACGGATTACTCTTGCTCATCGTATCAATTGATGCTAAGTTTCGAGCACAAAATACTGAAAAAAAAATCATCGTTGGGTTTATTTACTTCGTACATTTTTTGTACAAATATGTGTGTGTGTGTGTGTATGTGTGTGTGTGTGTGTGTGTATGTGTGTGTGTGTGTGTGTGTGAGTGTGTGAGATATGGGTGTGTATGGGTGTAAATGAATATGCATGAGTGTGCGTGGAATTATAATAATAGCAGGAATATGATTACTTGAAAAGTTTATAATACTTTATGATAGCAGGAATTATGATTAAATGAATTGTAGCAACTATCTATCATAAATAGTTCAATATATTAATTTAAAATTATTTAAGTAATAAAATTTACCTTTCACAGTAAGAAAACCAATATCACGGAAGGATTCATACGTTCTCCGTAAACTCTGTAAAAGCATTTAATGTGACAATAATTTTATTAGATAAATCGAAATTCCTCAAAAAAAAAAATTTATTATATTTCTTGTCTGAAAATTTTGTTTTTAATACTCTGATAAATTCCTTCATTACCACTGTTAAATGACCAAAAATTCTCATAAAATCATGCAAATTCTCAAAAAATTAAATGAAACTGACATATTTCTCGATGATAGCATTCCTTATATCATCACCGGAAAAATCAGATAGATCAATGATCGCATCGGTAGACGATGTACCTGTTACTGATACAAGAACAAGAATGGTACCTAAATCAACCGAAAAAAATGTATTTTGTAGCAAAAAAAAAGACAGTTATTGATTTTTTTCACCACTCTCACTTTGCCATTTTATGTTTTAGTTTCATTTTAATTCCTAATAATATTCCTCGTTAGTTAAAAAATTGCTAAATAATCGAAATCTTCCACATTATTCTCTCCATCATATCAAGGTTGTCTTTTAGCTATTACTAACAAGCTAAATTGAATTTCAAATTATTTCAAAGATGCAATTTGAAACGAACTAAAATCTGATTTTAGTCTGTATAGTATATCTCTTCCTTCTTAGTTTTTATTAAAAATTACTTATTTTTAAATTTTTTTTTTGTTTTTCCCTCATACAACACTTTCTATGACGATCACAGTTAGTGCAAAAAATGTCGGACATCGTACCTGTACCACGATCAAGTTCACAAATCATCTGATTCGGAGTCTCTTTTTCCAACTTGTCTAAATCTAAGCTGCATCTGAAATGTTCAATAAATCAGTTACATTCTTTTAAAAGTTCCTTATTCACTTCGATCAATATACCAAACAATGTTAGAAATACAAAATATTTTTAAAAATTTGCTCAACTGCTGTTATTTTATTCATAATCGTTTAGTAATTAGCAATTAAAATTTTCATTTTGTTGCGTATACTATTTTTTCTGAATTAATTGGTTTTTCAACTTAAAGAATAGCCGAGTTTTCAGCTTAAATAATTAAACTAAGACAATATTAGTCATTACTTCTTTCAAAAAGTTGACAACAAGTAAGAATAAAAAAAATTAGTATGGCTAATGATGAAATCAAAACTGCAGGAAGAAGTAACGATGGAAAAAAATGGATGAAATTAATGTTTTGTTTCGGATATCACACCTGTACCACGTTTAAGTGCATAAATTATCTGATTGGGAGTGGTTTTTTTTTCAAAGTGTTTTCTTGAAATTTGAACATAAATTTTGAAAGAGTGAAATTTTCAAATTAACTGAAATGGAAAGTTTTATGATTGATTTCTTTATGATTATACTCGATAAGATGAACATAATTTGGTTATAGTTGTTTTAAAAAAAAAAATTCCAACGCGTGGAATAATTTGTAAGTGATCGAAAAAGGCATCTCAAAAAAATATGTTAATTTTAATTTTAGTACTATTTTTTCTCTTCCATTTGTCCACTTACTTATTGATGAATTTTTTTTTCTCATAAATTTCTAAAATTTGCACAGCTTACACATTTTCAAAAATGACTGCATTTAACAATTTTTTTAAAATTTGTCTGTTTTTTTTTGCAAATCGATAAATTATTGTCTTCTTCATACAGTTACAATTTCATTATTCTCATTTTAAAAGTTGTTATATTTGATTTTCTTATTCGCCATTAGTTAATTGTAATTTATCTCGGCATAAACATAAACAATAAATATAAACAAATGGTTTATTTACAAATACTATAAACCTTCCAATGTTCAAATTCGTTTTCTTATCAATAACCATCATTTCAAGTATGTGTTTTGGTTCATCGAATAAATGCAGATCGAACTGCTCAAACCATTTTGGATTAGTGTTCCGTATTATAACCTATAAATCCGGCAAATCTGTTATCACAGTTTTACTATTGGATTATTGTCATATTTTATAAGAAAAGTTTGTTCGTTTTTTTTTTCATAACATTAATAATTAGAAAGTTAACAACAAAAAATTTTTATTAATGACAGCATGACAAAAGCAAGTTTTATTATACCCTGCTTTTATATTTCTCACTTCCAAGTTTAAATTTTACGAACGGATCTGGAAAGCTGTTTTCTGAGCCATCTGACATTACTAAATTTCGCCCTTCGATCAAAACAATGTTTGCAATTGATGACCAAACTTGTGTCACTGTAAAACAATTTTCATTCATTCATTTTTAGAAGAAAAAAAGCATAGAAGAGAGATAAGCTTGAAAAAAAAAAAATTAAATGTATTTTTCATTTTTGAAAAAAGCTGTACAAATTTTAGAAGTTTGTCAGAAAATAAATTAACTAACTAATAAGTAAATAAAAGAAGCGAAGAGAAGAAACAGACTAAACTTAAAGTTGGCGTACTTTTTTGAGGCGTCTTTGTTGGTCGTTCACAGATTATTCCACGCGTTGCTTTTTTTAAGAACTATAAACAAATTAAATTCAGCTTATCAGGTATGATCATAGAGAAGGCATTCACAAAGATTGCTAATTTGAAAATTTCATTTTCCTCATTTAAAATTAGCGTTAAAATTTCATGAAAACATTTTTTACCTCATCTTTTTCACTGGGAGTTAGAGGAGAAATTGTGATTACGATGTCAATTTCACCCATATCTTCTTCATTATTGTCTTCTTCCCGTAATTTTAATTTCATCATTGTCATCCTAAATTTTATTATCTTTATCTTTCTTACTTGCTGCTAACTTATAAGATGATATTTTTATTCCTATTTTTGTATATAATTAATCTATTTATGTGTAACTTACTGAAAAAGTCTTAATTGACTGAGGTCAATGATAGCGCCACCCATATAATCGTCAGTTGCCCAACGATCATAATCATATACGTCCATATAAATTGGTGTAGTGGGATCATCTATTAACAGCGTGAATTCTTCTTCCCAAATTGGATTCAAATTCTTGTAAATTGTTGAACTTTTATAATAAGTTCGATCTTTATATTTAAATTTGACGTATGGATCACTGCTTCCTGCAAAATTAATTCAAAAAAAAAATGAATTTTCTTTTTTATTTTTTTTTTCAGAAAAATGTAAGAAATTTAATCAATCTACTAAACATTATGGTATTACGGTATGATGACAAAACAAAATTTTCTCAGGAAAATATGACCTGAAGCATCTCGAATTACCAAATTATGCCCTTTCTTCAACCTTATCCGTACCGAAAATGTTACATAAGCTTCCTGATTTGCATCATCCCCCGCAACATCACACTTTTGTTCATTTCTTCTCTGGAAAGGAACTGAAAATGTTTGACAGCAGTACCTGTTATTGAATAGAAAATTTTAAATTAATGTTTAAATCCATTGATTAACTTCTCAAATAGCATTGAAATATCTTGGAAGACAAATGAATCCATTGTAAGTGGTTTAATGATTAGATTAATCAAATAGATCAGCACTGTATTTTTTAATATTACCCATAGATGAAATATTTCATTTCATCGATATGTCACTTTCCTTTAAAGAATTCGATTTTGTAAGGAACTTTAGGAATTTTAAGGAATTTGGCTCAAATCATTATTCATTTAGAAAAATGTAATTGAGAAGGGGAAAAAGTGATGTGCTTACAGATGATGTCAATGGATTGGACAATATGTCAGCAGCTTTATTAGCTGAAATGTCATCTTTCTCTTTCAGTCGTCGATATCGTCCTTCACCCAATTCTCTCTTGAAAACACCTTTTAATAGTGATGAATTCATTGCAATCTGTAGATGAAATTATAATTAAAGTTTTAGGCAGGCATTGTTCTAGCAGTCTTGATCGAAAGATAATTTATTTATTTGAAGCAATTTAAACATCAACCAATTAATTCATCTTTCTAGCAATGCTAACAAAAAATTGTACTATAAAAATTTTCTATTTCAATTTTTTTTTGATAAAATTTTCAAAACCCCGTATTTTTCTGTTTTATTCCCACTTAGAAATATTTGCTTTTTGTTTTATCAGAAAAAAAGTTAGATGATAATATTTCATTTTCTCTTATGCTTATGTTATTTTTAAAATTTGTTCCGTCCTGTTAATTACATACACAATATCATTTCTTATCATTTCCAATAATTCAGAAGTATTTTTCAACATATTTTGTCGATACAAAACAATTAAGGGAATTGACAATGTTATTTCATAACTTTTTTCTTACTTTTCAACCATCAATATTGATGTTGAATAATATTCTCATTGCAAAACAAAAAGCCAAGCATAAATAGTAATGAAAGGTTGAATTATTTACATTTGATAGGAGCAATAAATTAAA